TTCGTACGTTTTTTCAACAAATCACTTTCAAAGTTAGCAATTTTATTAATTTAAATACATTCTTTTCAGCGGAGTTGAGGGATTTTTCCTAATTTGGCCATGCCATAAGATAAAATAATAAATAAATAAAGAATAATAATAATAATAATAACAATAATAATCCGAGGAAAGGTCTATTGCTCCGCCATGAGTGAAGTGAACTCACTGAAGTAAAGACTGTTTTTTTGTATGTCGGAAAATTCCCAGACGATCGGGGATTTTTCTTTTTGCCGACCATCTCAGATTCTGCCTATATATCGGATAAAGCCTGTTTTTCATATGTCGGGAAAATCCCAGACGATCGGGGATTTTACTTTTTCTCCACCATCCCAGATTTTGCCTATATACCGGATAATCGCCAGAAGACTGTCCCAGATTCTCTCTATTATGAACTTGGCGGGAAATGGAAAGTGTGCAAAAAATCGAGTCTTGAACAAAAATTTAACAGCATTTATACAGCAACATTGATGCACATGAGCGTATGCTGCGACGTTCTCAATAGACGATCGGGGATTTTACTTTTTCGCGACCATCCCAGATTTTGCCTATGTATCGGATAATCGCCAGAAGACTGTCCCAGATTCTCCCTATTATGAACTTGGCGGGAAATGGAAAGTGTGCAAAAAATCGAGTCTTGAACAAAAATGTAACAGCATTTATACAGCAACATTGATGCACACGAGCTTATGCTGCGTCGTTCTCAATACATCTTTGTTCTTGCACCCGTCAATGCAAGGTTTTGCATTCTGAAAAAGCAGAGGCCAACTAAAAATACCATATCATTCTTCTTCCTTCTTGGGCAAGAGATTGGAGATAGCAATGACTCGAATTTTCGAGAAACACCATGTTTATTTGTGTTTATTTACGATAGGGGGACTGGAGCCCAGCAAACAGGAGATTGGTAATGTGCGAAATCCATCGCTGACGTGCCCGATGGAAAAATGTGAATTTCATTTGTCGGGAATGATCGCCGACTATCGCAGAAATCTTGGACGCGTTGGGAAAATGGGAACGCTGTCGATTCTCCAGATTTTTTCCCGTCCATCCCAGACGATCGGGAATATCTACAATTTCTAGTTTTCATTAGTCGGCAAAATCTGGGACAGTCGGGAAACAGTAAAATCCCTGATTGTCTTGTATTTTCCCGACATATATAAACTAGGCTAAGGAAAAAGAGTAAGTGAAGAAGCAGCGCTTTAAATAGAGTTAATTAATAAGTTTTCTTTTGGCTGAAGCAGCTGAGCTCACTCCCTGGGAAGGAGTTTCCTTTTTTCCTTATATTATTACTTTTTTGTTTTTACATAACAACATCAGATATATTGCTTCAAATCAATAACAGCATCAAAATGAGGTAAGTTCTTGACACTGTGGCTTTCGAACTTAATTTTTTGCTATCCACACTCGCAAGGTTAAGTACATACATCCTTTTCTAAGCTTTTCATGAAATGCTGAAGTAAGCTGGGAACCGGAATCTTTCTCGAGTAGCTTTTTTACTTTGTTCAGATGTCGTCAGGGTTTTTTAAAAAAAGTTGGTCGTAAGTACCCCTTCTGAATCACTTTAGTTAACAAAGCCTTTAATTTATTCCCTTGGTAGGTTGTAGCCAGCGAACAGGCTCCCCTTTTAACCGGAGAGAAAAAGAAAATCGGCAAACGAAAGCAAGCCTAGCGTAGGTTGGGGGAGAAAAAAGGCGGGGGAACCGTTCAACTTTGTTTATATCATGATCTGATTGAACAGATCGCTGACTGTTGACGAGTGAGTGATGAATGTTGACCAAAAATACCCTTTCGATTTATTAATGTTTAATGCAAATTTCCTTTGGTGGAATAGAATCTTCATTTTTAAACAAAGCTATTGTCTACATTTGAGGGATCTTAATAGTCGATATTCGATGGATGCATTTAATATTTACATATAATTGATTAATCCACAAAACTGCCTATACAGTCCATGTCTACATTGCTTGCAGTTCAATAGGTTGGTCCCGCCTTACTGGACACGAAGTGTTTTTACAGAAAACCTCCTTCAAAGGTCTCCTGAATCCTGGCAATCTAATTGCGTAGATCACTGGATTCAATATAGAATTAAGGTGATAAAATGTTGATGCTATCTTCATAGGTGTGAACTTAATCCATAAGTAACGGTCTGAACTTATCGAGATACACATAATTATTACCCAGGGAAGAAGAGTAAGTGTGGATGCAGCACTAACTATGAATAAAGTTACTGAAAGTTTTCTTTCTGCTGACATAACTGACCCTAACTGCTGGACATGAGGTTTTCTAATAAATTTTGACATAATTATAACATAAGATGTTATTAGTACTGCAAGGGTAAGACAAATATAAATTACCCAGGGGTATCGATCTGTAACATGCTTTTTGTATTGTTCTTGTAATTCTGTAGTTTTGAGAACCCTCTGACGAAAAAGAAGTTGAACGCCAAAACCGTTCTTCAACTGTGTATCAACCCTGATAGCTATCAGGTTGGAACACAGACGATTGCTGCTACCTTTGAGATTGACCCTAAGTTTAGCAACCAGGAGATTGAGTGGTCTACCAAGCAACGTGGATCCATCATTCTGTATGGACTTCTGGTTAAACTCGATGAAACTGATTGAATTTCAAATAATTAGTGTAAGGCTATTTCGCCAATAATTTTCAGTTTTTCTTTTAAAAGGGCAGCAACTCTGTACTTTTGATCACTTTGTATTCAGGAACGGACTGAGGATTTTGTGATAGAGGGGGCCTAGAGATATATTATACAGTGGCAATATATAGGCGTGATAGCGCCCATCAGGACTGCGAACGGCGCACTTTTCTAGGGAGTTTCCGGCCTACGCTCCTCCCGGAAAAAATCTGTGATTTAAGTTCTCTGAGATGCAATCCAGTGCATAAATCTGGCAAATGCCTGGATTCCCTATCGAACATGTAATGCCGAAATATTTAATAAACCACAAAAGCGGAGACCGGGGCTACCCGCGGCCCACCCCTAAATCTGCCCTTGGTATTTATACTCAAAGAATGTCGATACATTCCCTAATAGTGTAAGATTAATGGCGAAAAAACGACCATTTTTAATATTCGTTTAGCACTATCGATTTGCATAGGAAGTTCTGCTTTGGACTTACAGGATCCCTTATCAAAATTTCGAAGGTCAGTTTTCTTAGTTAAGATCTTGCATATTTTACCAAGAGTAGTCCAAAGGCATAATAATAACAAACAAATAAAAGCGTCAACGACGTACAGCAACAAATTTCGTTCACTCTTAAAGCTGGACCAGGAGAGTGTCATAGAAGTGGGCGTTGAAAGATGGTAATTTCGGGTCTAAGTGCAAGGTGGCAAGAATTTCAGTATTGGCAGACATTCCAGAACTTGTCATTCCCTTGAAATCTCAAGTCATTTAAGGCATGGGCCCCTAGTTATTTAGTGAAAATGTGAGGGGGTAGTCACTTTTTCTCTTTGTCCTTAATGTTTCTATTGATTGCACAGCTGTAAGTTCATAAACTATATTATCATTTCTTTGCTTGGCAATGTTAAGATATTTTAGAAGAAAGGTCTGATAATAATCGCCATGATGGATATGTTAACAGAAATGCCGATCCCCCTGACTGTCCGTTTACAGGAGTGTCCGTCAGGAAAGGAGAGCAGGAGAAAACGTGCAACATTATCAAGTGATCCTTAGCTATGTTGTAATTTTAACACGAATTCTTCATATAGATCTTTTATTTCGCTAGATAGGTGTGTAACTTCGACTTTATCGACAGATTAGTCTTAATTAGCGCCCTTACGACAATCAATCTATACTCGCACGCGCAGCAAATAGACCCTTAAGTCTGCATCCTTGCAACAAGTTGTTTTTTGAATAAAAGCTTTGTAAATTAATGTGTTTTTCTTTCTCTCTTATTCTCTCTACCTTGCTGGAGAGCTGTTTCAAGATCGTGATACCGAGATACAATACAGATTTAGAATCACTTTCAAGGCAAATGAATAACCTCAATTTGCACCAAACGACTAAGCTTTACTTTCAATGGCCATCCACCGTTCAAAATATCTACACAAAATTAGTAGCTTTTGCCAGTTCCATTCATTAGAATTATTTAGGACCGTTTGTTTCAGTTGTCGACTTGAATCTTACATTTCCTATAAATAATGGTAAGGACTGAGTGGAGTCCATTTCGGTCTGTAATCGTACGAGTGATCAATTAACAAAATCAGCGGACGACTGCATAGAGGGAGTCCGATTAATTTAATCACCAGCGTTATTACAGACCAAATTAGAGGACACGAAGCTTTCTGTTACCACTTAATCATAACATAACTGTAACGAAACTTTGTGACAATTCAACCTTTTCTTAAATTAGAACACAGGATACTCCACTAAAGTGAGCGCCCGCGATGGCGCATAGTGTCTAATCAGATTTAAGATTTTATTATTATTATTATTTTTTTTTTTTAATTTTTTTTTACAGTTATAATTAGTCTCTAAATTCTAAGAAAACATATTGTAACTAAAACAGCAGGCAGTAAAACTATCAATAAACACCCATTTAACAATTCCCTAGAATTTCATTTCAAAACGGGTTCCAAGAGGCCCCTAACCCTTGGGTCTCTTTTTTAGTGATGTTTACCGCCCACTACAATTCTAGAAGATCAGTGGGTAGGGCCCGTCCTGTAGATGAAGTATTTTTGCAGAAAAGCCCTTTCAAAGCCCTCCTGAACTGTCGTAATCTAATGGCATAAATGAGTGGATTCAAGACCGAGTTTAGGTAATAAATCGCAAGTATAAAGGTTGTAACATTTTTGAATGGTAATAATTGAATCCTCAAGTAACCTAAACGTAGAGAAACACAACTTGTTATTGCCCATGGAAGAAGAGTAGCTATAGAGGCTGCGGTGACTATTAATAATGTTATGGAAAGTTTCCTCTCCACTAGAATAACTGAGCTAAACCGCTGGGCATAAGGCTTGCTTAAAACCTTTGATAAAATGATAACATATGCTGCTGTAAGAAGTGTAACGGTAACGAAAGTATAGCTTACCCATGCACCTCGACATGCAACCGGTTCATTTATTTCAAGAATGACAAATACAGAGGCTAAAATGAAGGACCCAAACCAACTGCAAAAGATAATCTTACAGTAAACACGTTTCCCGACCAAGCAATGGTTAAATGGATAAAGTGTGGCGTGCAGTCGCTCTAAAGAAATTAATGCTAGATTGCCTACTGAAACTATATAAAAGCTGTCAATGATCGCCCTCCAACAGTTTCTCCAACTGAGACCATGTTGCGGTCCTGGTAGACCATTTTGATACACAGGTCCCGCCACAGCTCCAACCAGAAAATCAGCCACAGTTTGGTTTATTACCAGGTATGTACTGCGCTTGCGTAAACGGCGACTTCTTGCAAAAGCGACAACCGTTAAGGTGTTGATTATGGATATAAAACAAAATTCTGTAGTCAGCACTGCAAACCGGATATCCTCTACTTCGTCAGGCATCCTTTGATTAAAGGGGCATTCTTGTCAACCTTGCGCTTGTAACATTTGATTGTTTCCAAATGGAACCTTCGACAAAAACAAAATAAGTTCGAGTCTAGGTATCCAACGGCAAAAGTTTCTGACCCGCTTGCTCTCATTATCGTGTTGGCTCGGCTCTTGCCTTTAAAATTTTTGTTGTGTTTGTATGAGAAGCCAGGCTGACGAGATCCCATTGGCTCGAAACGAGATCTCAACTAAAAAAAAATTAGGATGGGAAGCAGATGGAGAATACTGAACTTTCTATGATTTGCCGTTTCGTAAAATTATTGGTAAATGAGGTTAACTTTCTTGCCGTGAAAACTGGTTGACTTGTAAATTGCGCCAAAAGTAATTCAAATATCCGGAGGATCATTTGCAAATGTAAACATGTGTGTAACGTAAATATGTTTCATGCATCTTGTTGATGCCAGTTTCAACGCAATCCCCATTTTAAGCGACTTTATGCCAGTCCAAAATCTAACTTTTCTCAGTTTTGAAGGCATCTTTTGACAGAACCTTTACCTGATATTCTGACGGATTTCTTAATTCTGTTTTTAAAATCCCGTGTTGACAATCTTGAAGAAGGATATACTATTTACGCAGGTGTTCTGTATTTGCATAATGGCTTCTTGCAGTGAAATTAAAGGTTTCGAGATTTCCTTTCCTCCACATTGTGAAACCCAAAGGAAACGGAATATAAAGCTGAAGATATCAATGGGGAACTCGCTCACCCGTTATTCGACGTTTAATACATGGAGTCTTACGACGGTGTCAAAGGTCGGTGCGGGACGTGTAGAAAACCAATGTCACGATATCATGCATGGAATCATAGTCGGCTGTATAAAACCTTTGCCAAAATTGCCGTTAACTTTAAAAATAACATAGAGGCAGTGACTTTTGTTTATTACCAAACTAAATGTCACTTGCACTTATAATTTTAGACGCATTTTAACCAAAAGTAATATGTCTTTTTGTACGGTACTTTCTCACAGTATCAATATGGCGGTCGTCTAAAAATCCGCCAATTAGCAAACTTCGGGGAGGTCGTATCAAAAAACTTAAAAAGATCCCAAAGAAATGAAAAGAGGACATAAAACATCTATCTTAAGCTGTAGAGAAAGCTTATTCTGAAGATTTATTTTGGCGAACCGGCCGGATTTTTAGGCAGATCTTTTATATCACTTCAGAGCCATTCAGAAAAGGCAACGAAGTGTGTTCAACGAAAAACTCTCCACGGGTCTTATAAAGTAAATAATCTGTCAATATAAACAATATTTAATTTACCAAGGGGCAAGCTATTTCTTCAAGGTAAGAAATCAGTTACAGGCGTTATCCCGCTAACTTGAGAGAGTCACGAACATAGTGAAATTTCGGTTCATCAAAGAGGTCATTTTGGTTCAAAACGGACCCAACCGATTTTATTTAATTCTCCTAATAAACGCAAAAATTAGACCAAACTAACCCTCTTTTGCTAACTACGATACAATACTCTATCAACGTAAAAAGTATCAGCGAAAACGAATTTTGAGCTGTGTCCGCGATTTTGAAATTATCTCTGATTCTTACTGACATTGACTCTTAAATTCACAGCTGCCTTAAGTTTTATTTTCTTCTGAAATTAAAAAAAATAAAAATAAAATAAAAATAAAACAGTTACTTACATTTTGTTTCTCTTAAAGGTGCAAGTGATGACTAGGAACAGATTGTATAACTCGGTCTGTAATACTCCTCACTCAGTTATAACACCTTGCAAGCTCAAAGCATATAAAATTTAACAAAAACGCATCGATAGGAATATATACCCTCAATGAGCTCCGGCCTTTAGATGAGATCATTAAAGGTTTGTCATGTTTACCACTAAGATCATTAAAAGTTTGTAATGTTTACCACTACAGAATGATCAGAATGGTATTAAATATGGTAATAATTTTTAATAATAATTTTCAATCAAAATATGTTCTATTTATCCACTGAAGATATTCTTACTCCAAAGCAATATGGCTTCCGCCCTGCTAGTACCACTACTGATTGTTTTATTAGTAGATTTAATAGAAGAAATTACCGCCACTCTTGACAAAGGAGACTATGCAGTTTCCATATTTTTAGAACTAAGCAAAGACTTTGATACTGTAAATCACCAAATTTTATTAAACAAGTTGTAAAATAACTTATTAGAGAAGAGTAAATTGAGAAAATAATTGGTTTCGACATGGATAATAGAAAGACTGGATAGGAAACTTATGTCACGTGGGCTGATTTCTTATCGCAGATTGGTTGGTTCGTGCTCCAAGATGGCGTTGGATGGTTCCATCATAGTGGAGATTTGTGACGAAACGATGGCGAAAATGTGGCGCAAACCAGTTGAAATGTAGGGTTTCTTTACCTGCATGTTTTTCTTTGTCGGATTTTTTAGTGGTACTTTAATTTTTGGTGGGTGTTTTTTCCTTCGTTTGTTGTCTTACGACGATGGCGATCCTTCAAAGCCACACTTGAACCTTCAAGGTAAGCACTTCTTGTTGTTGTTTTGTGTTATTTGTCCTTGTCTTTGAGAAAACTGCGTCCCAAAAATTGACCTTACCACAGCCATATTTAGTACACTTGGCAACTGTTTTGGGACGCCTTTGTTATGAAGGTTTCTTCTATTCTTAACTACGATTGACAGATGTTTGAAGGATGGAATTGTGGTATAGGCATGGTTACAGACTGAATGCTAGCTGCTATTTTTCAGTCATAAATTTCATTTGAAAATGGCTGAAACTAACTACGTTCGGAGCTGGCGCCGAGCAAGTGTACGTTTCTTAGAGATCCAAAGCAACAATGTACCTGTAGATGATAAACCTTACCAAGGTATATTCTACTCAAAAACTTAAACTTTGTTTCATCCCAAAAAAGGTCAGTATTTCAAAGATAATACATTTCTAGGTTTTATTAAGCCTTATGGAAGACAAGTGTTTCCTAATGAAAAAGAAGTGAAGTTTCTACTATTAACCAGAAGAGTTTGCTTCCCAGTTGTATTCTAGTAGTTAACAATTAACCGTTTTACAAATCATTTTTAAAAGGTTTGCAGTTCGCTTTTTCAAAGACCTGACTGAAAAGTAGGTTGGATCACTGTACATTTATACCTAAAAATTACAAAACAACTTGCCTCACAATGAAAATTGATTTGAAAAAGTTTAGAAACGGCGTTTCCATGGTGGTCCGCAAGCAAATTTCCTTTCTCCGCTGTGAGCTTTTCCCGCTTTTCTATATTTCTCGAATACGACTTCTTGTCAATGGTTGTCCGTAAATAAAATTGAGGGGAAAATTAAACGCTTGTTTGAGCTAGGTACTTTTACCGCTAATAAAATCATTTTGTCAAGGGTTGTTAACTTATAAAATTTGACACTCGCTGAGCTTGTCGATAAAAGCAGAAAAGAAATCGTGAAAATCGTGATAAAAAGGGTTAAAATTATTTCCGGTTTTCTTGTGGTTTGAAGAAAATTAGGCTCTGCCTTTTTTGTAGGTGTTTTGTTGCCGTATACATGTAAGTTTTCGCATACTTTTTATTTAGTTAGGCTTCCCGTTTGGTGCATAAAATTATCGGGCGCTGGAGTCATTCGTCGCTCTTACAAGTTTCATAATCATTTACTCTGTCTTTTGGCTCTACCCGTTTTGTACCCTCTAAATGTCTTCTCCAAGAGCAAGTCCTCTTCATCCTTTACTTCAAAATATGGCCAATATGTATAGTCGAAGACAGAGATAGTGAAATATGCGAGGAAACATAAGACACGCAAAACGTCGAATGAGGTTGAGTGGCTTTCGATAATGTAACGTCACATTTTCCCACTATGTTGGAACCGATCGCGTCAGCCAGTTTCCTATCCAGTCTTTCTATTATCCATGGTTTCGATCACATCTTAACAAAAGGAAACAAAAGGTCTACATAAATGGGGTTATGTCCGATCGGTATAAAATATCTTCAGGGGTACCTCAAGGATCTATAGTAGGTCACATTTTATTTTTAATATTTGTCAATGATTTTTCCAGGTTAAACAGGTAAACGCGTTACCTGACGTCCAAATCACTAGTCTCTGTTTACTCTTCTCTGTTATATCATTACCTTTATTATGGTTGTCTTTTGTGTGGAAACAATTGTGATGCTCCTCTATCAAAGGTTGTGAAATTACAAAACAAATCTGTTCGTATAATTAACGATATTCCCTTTATGAAACCAATAACTCCTCATTACGTAGCTCTGCTGCGTTTATTGAAAATTCCTGATATAGTTAAACTTAGCATGTGTTTGTTGCTCTATGAGTACTTTCATGATGATAGAGTTCTGAGTTTTTCTCTGATCTTACGCTCTGAGTAGCATACTTATCATATTCGTACTGCATTATCAGATCATCTAGCAAGAGAGAATGAGCTAAAAAAGCGAATCCCTGTGCCCCATGATAATGTTTTTTAAATCTATTTAAAGTTCGCGCGCGTGCTGCGAAGATTATTTTTGTCTGTTGTTTCCGTGACTCGCGTGGTCTACTTTCACGTGAACGTGACATGTTTCGCCGCCAAACATTTGAAGTTTCACAGCCATTACAGTAATTAGCGCCAGGAGCCGATACTGCGGCTTTTAGTTTTTTGTCCGTGGATGTAATGATTTCCTGCCATGATTGACGATAGGTCCAGCTCCAAGTGTTGTTTGCAGGATACGATATCATGTGTGGTCGATCTGACTTGCAGCAATGCTTGAAAAATTAGAGATTTTCCGAAGCATGTCGTCAAAATTAACGGAAATGTCGTATTTTTTTTTCAAATTTCTTCAAAGCCATCTTTGATACCAGTTAAGTTTTTCGGTAAATGGAACAGATTTGTAAAAATGGTAAACTCGATTTTATGACGAAATTTGCCAGTCCTGAAATGTTCTTACCATTTGCCCAAAGCGTGAACCGACCGTTTTGCCCATGTAAACGATAAACAACCAAGATTTGGCACTATGAGAGGAG